CCAGGTAATAAACCAGTCTCTTAATAGGGAGGGGAAGAGCCTTCAGAAAAACTGCTTCCAGGCAGAGAAATATCATCTGCGAGGGAAATATCCCCTAGGAAGGGAAATATCCTCCAGGCAGGGAAATATCATTTGGGCAGGGAAATCTCCTCCAGGTAGGGAAAAATCATTGGGGCAAAGAAATATCCCCCAGGTAGAGAAATATCATTTGGGCAGGGAAATGGCCTCTAGGTAGAGAAATATCCTCCAGGTAGGGAAAAATCACTGGGGCAAGGAAATATCCCCCAGGTAAGGAAATATCATCTGGGAGGGAAATATCCTCTGGGCAGGGAAATCTCCTTTTTAGGAAGGGAAATATCCTCTAGGTAGAGAAATATCATTTGGGCAGGGAAATGTCCTCCAGGTAGGTAAATCTCCTTTTGGAAAGGAAATATTCCCTAGGTAAGGAAATCTTCCCTGGGCAGGGAAATCTCCTTTAGGAAGGGAAATATCCTCTAGGTAGAGAAATATCATTTGGGCAGGGAAATGTCCTCCAGGTAGGGAAATCTCTTGGCAAGGAAATATTCCCTAGGTAAGGAAATCTCATCTGGGAGGGAAATATCCTCCAGATAGGGAAACATCAGCTGGGTACGGAAAATCTCCTCTGGGGAGGGAAATCTCCTTTAGGAAGGGAAATATCCTCCAGGTAGAGAAATATCCTCTGGGCAGGGAAATGTCTACTAGGAAGAGAAATATCTTCCAGGTAGGGAAATATCACTTGGGCAGGGAAATATCCTCCAGGCAAGAAAACATCCCCTCTGTAAGGAAATATCCTCTAGATAAGGAAACGTCTCCTCCATAAGGAAACATTCCCTCAGTAAGGAAACATCCCCTAGTTAAGGAACTCTCCCCCACTTCAGGAATTATCCCCTCGGTCAGGAAACATCCCCTAGTGAAAGAATTGTCCCCCAGTTCAGGAATTATTCCCTCGGTAAGGAAATCTCCCCCATTTAAGGAGCTCTCCCCCAGTTCAGGAGTTATCCCCCAGTTGAGGAACTCTCCCCTCAGTAAGGAATTACACCCCAGTGCGGAGCTCTCGCTCGGTTCAGGAGCTCTCCCCTCAGTAAGGAATTATCCCCTAGTTCAGGAATTATCCCCTAGTTTAGAAACTCTCCCTCAGTTCAGGAATTATCCCCNAATTTTTTTTTAATTTTAATAATAATTAAAATTTTAACATTCTTTTTATTTTAATTACGATAATTATTTTATTTAAATTTAATTATTATAATTCTTTTAATTCAATTAAAATTCTTTTTAGTTTTATAATCATTAAATTGGACATGAATTCATTTAATTAATTGAGAAAAGAACTTAAAAAGTTCTTTTCTGAGCTCCTCTGATGGGAGTGGGTTAGCACAGGAGGGCAGCTGTGAGGCTGATCTTACTGTACAGATTGGAGACACTTTTGAGGGGGAAAAAAGGGCTTTATCTGCCATTATTATTATTATTATTATTATTATTGGTAACGATAATAATGATAATTATAATAAAATATTATAATAAATTATACTATTGATAAAAAGTAATAATAATATAATAATAAAAATATAAAAAATTAATAATAACAATAATAATAATAATAATAATAGTAATAGTAATAGTAATAATAATAATAATATTCTCTTTTTTTTCCTGGTAAAATCTACTTTACCAGCAAATTGCCTGCTGGAAATTCAAACACCAACCCTTTCAGAGCAGAGTTTTGGTGACTTCAGGCAGAGATTCAGCTGCTCCAAGTGTTGCCCATCACCAGCAAATCCCAGAAAAGGATTGCAAAAGCCACTTCCTCCCACATGGGTGTGCCCTGACATGTGTGGACAGAATAAAGAACACGAAAATGCAAAGCAGAGAGCAGGGGCAGTGCTGGGTCAGCATTTCCCTGTGCTCTGCTTTCCCCTCTCAGGTGATGATTGTTTGGGATAAAGTTTATTTGAAATTGAAATGAGGAACCTTGAGGTAGCATTGTGTGAAGTGGAAATCTTTTCAGAGATAGAAGTTTTACACTTTTTGTTATAAAAATAAGTTCAGAGATTATGATGTCAGTGTGAAAATGTATTCATTTATTTTCCAAATGAGCCTCGCTTTGATGATTTCATAAATGTGCCTTTTGTGATTAAAATGGTGTGGTGGGGTTTTTTAAATGCTGTAAAATCTGTGCGTTTCTGCTGGCTCAGAGAAAAGTTCCGCTGGAATTTGTTAATTCTGAGCTGAACTGGGCAGGATCTCGCTCTGGGTAACAGGAGGGGACACAGGACCAAACTTGTCTTCCTGAATCACCTCATCTGTGCCCTCACACCTCCCTGCACAGCCTGCTCTGCTCTGGGCCTGCTGGGACACGAGGGATGACAATTCCTCACACTCTGAGGAAATGTTTGCACAAACACCAAATACTGTGCTGTGTTCCCCAGGAGTGTCACAGAACCAGAACCCCAGGCTGCTTTGGGTTGGAAGGAAATAAATCCCATCCCAAGGGCCCTTCCACCATCCCAGACCAAGCTCTGCCCTGGGAATTCCTTCCCAATATCCCAATATCCCAATATCCCAATAAATATCCCAATATCCCAGTGCCCAGCAAGCTCAGCCCTGAATTCTGGCAAGAGGAGGAATTGTGACTTGTGCCACCATTATCCCACCCTTATTTTCCTTTTTGCTCACAGTTTGAGGAACAAGTGTAAAATAGAAAGNTCCTGTGGGAATTCCAGAGGCAGCAGCTGAGTGTGTCACTCCCTCCAGCCCACTGGAGGTCCCAGTTTAACATCCTGGATCTGAGTTGCATAAAAGGATTTTGGGAATTGTAGTCGAAAAATTCACTTGTACCGAATACCTTCTATTGGTACCTGGAATAAATTTCTGTTCCTTTTATTTTCTTTTCCTGATCTCTCTGGAATGTGACCTAAAGCAGCCCCTAAACACCAACCAGCAGCTGCTAAAGGATTCCCTTGGAACAGATTTATAAGGCCAGGAAATAAACCCAAGAAAAAACCACAGAGAATTAGAGTGTAAATTTGAAACCTGTGAGGAATTTATAGATATGGATTTATTCACCTTACAGCATTCCTGTGTGTCCTGAGCTTATGTGTAACAAGGGCTGGAGGGACAGGAGCCAGGGAATGGCTGCCAGTGCCAGGGGCAGGGATGGGTGGGAGATTGGGAATTGGGAATTCCTGGATCCCTGGCAGTGCCCAGGGCCAGGCTGGGCACTGGCACACCCTGGGACAGTGGGAGTGTCCCTGCCATGGCAGGGGTGGCACTGGATGGGTTTCAATCCAACCCAAAGCATTCCAGGATCCCACAATTAGGATTTGTGTGCACTGGCCAATTCAGAATGTATTTCTGTCAACAAGAGCCGTGTGTTCGGCTGCTCTGCTGTTTGATTTTTCCAAACTAAGCTCAGGAGCATCTCCCAGGGATTCTTGTTTTGGGTTTTCTCCCTGCTCCACTCACAGTTAAACCCCACAGGCACCACATCCTGGCTCTGGGCACTATTTGCATTTTCTAAAACAATTCCACCATTGCTCTGGACCACTCATCAGATTTCTAGAGCATGACTAAAGGGTTCATTCTTAGCAAGTGTTGCATAGACAGATATAAAGGAGCATTTTGAGGACTTTTTTTGAGTTTACATTAGTTCAGTGCTTCTGTATTTTTAAACATGTGGGAGTTTTTGTGTTGTGATGTGTGAGGTTGGGGTGGAGGTCAGGAGGTGCAGGGTGTCCAGATTTATTCCACGCATGTTTCCATGGCAGGACCAGGCTCCCCTTAGCAATTATTTAATGTATTTTAGCCTCATTATAATGGATTACTGTTCAAAGCATTTTAATTTCATTAGTATTTATTATTATTTAATGCATTATAATTCCAACAGCAAAGTTGCTTGTTAAAACAAATAGTTACATTTAGGTTTGAAATCTCTCAGGTCATTGAGCTTGTCATAAATGCGTTTATTTGAGCTCAGAAGCCTGGACCTTTGCAGCCTGCAGCGAATTTGAGTGACCTGGGCTAGTGGGAGGTGTCCCTGCCCATGGCAGGGATCTGGAATGTGATGGGTTAAACATCCCTCCAACCCAAACCAGTCTGGGATTTATGGATGCATCAGCCTGGTCCTGTTACTGAAATTTGTTATTTTCATGGTTTTTTTCACTGTAGCCAAGTTCCTGCCACAGGAACCTGTGGCTGGCAAACAGCAGCAGGAGAGTTGTGAGCTGAAGGTGGATTTGAGCTCCCAGGTGCTCACTGGGATTTCCTTGGCAGCTCCAGCAGGAGGAACACTTCCCATCTGTGCCGTTCACATGGGAATTGGTGTTTGCCTTGCCTTGGATCAAAAACCCCCAGAGCCCTTGGCTGCTGGGATTCAGCTCCCCAATCCCAATCCCAATCCCAATCCCAAATCCAACGGTGGGTGCTGTTCCCACCTTCTCATCTCCCACCTCCCCTGCTCTGCTGCTTCCAGCCCTGTCTCTGCACAGCCACCCTTATCTGANTTCCTTCGTCCCCTCCTTGATCCCCTCCTTCACCACTTCCTTCATGCTTTCCTTCATCCCCTCCTTCATCTCCATCCCTTCCTTCATCCCTTCTTTTATCCCTTTCTTCATCCCATCCTTCACCCCCTCCTTCATCCCTTCTTCCATGCTTTCCTTCATCCCTTCCTTCACCCCTTCCTTCATCCCTTCATCTCCTCTTCTTCCCTTCCTTCATCTCTTCTTCACCCCTTCCTTCTCCCCTTCCTTTATCCCTTCACCCCTTCATCTCTCCTTCACCCCTTTATTCTTTCCTTCCTTTATCCCTCCATCCCCTGCCAGGTGTTTCCCCTGACCCTTTCCCAGCGCTGTTGCCGCCCCTGGGGTGACACCGTGCCAGGGCCACCTGTGCCGCAGGAGCAGCCCCGCTGTGGCACATCCACAGGCACAGCCCAGAGGGGGAACCACGCAGCAGGTGGATCTGAGGCTTTGGGATGTGTTTGCACGGCAGGGGAAGCTCCAGCCCACCTCCCTTTTCACCCCCAGTATTGTAAAAAAGGTGATAAATTGAGGCTGGAGGGAGCAGTGCCCTGCTGGGATTTCCAAAAGCTGAGGGTTGTTCCATAATTCTGACCATCATTTTCTGCTGGTTTGGTGCTGCCACACAAACACTGTAGGCAATGGTGAGTTGTTTTTCTCTTTTTCCCCCAGAGCAGATGTAGTGATGCTGTTGGATAACGATTCTGTGTTACTTTTTCCAATAGAATAAAAGATCTGCATTTGTATTGGGTGCCTAAGTAGTCTTGTGGCTGGCATAGAAACCACTAATTGCCTGTCTGAGGAATCCTGGATTTTGTGCTCTTCACCCCAAAATCTCCTGATGGAAGCTGCTTTCCAGTGCCTTAGAGAGTGCCAGGCTGTTCTTTGGCTCATCTCTCTGCATTAACCCCAGCCAGCACCTGCCCAAACGTGACCCACAGCTGCCAAAACATTCCCTTAAAACTGAGAGGTGCTTTCACACAAATGCAGCAAAAGTTGTTGGGTCCGTGCTGCTTTACCAGTTCTATTTGTGCATTTGGTTTTGGTGAAAAAAGCAGCAATTTTGGTGAAACGAGCAGAGGAAGCAGGGTTGTGATGCCAGTGAGTGCCTGTAAAAATGTGTGTTTGCTTTCAGCCAGGTTTTTGCTCCCTGGGAAAGTTCCTTGTGTGCAGGACCCACCCTGGAGCATGAGGCAATCTGGCTGTAATGTGAATTTCTGCTGTGAACACACTGAATCAGTGAGTCAACCCAAAACTGTATCGTTGTCAGCCTGCTGGGGAAGCACATCAGTGTTAAAAGATACTCTTTAATAAAAACAAGCACTGCAGATCTTAAAGTGGGCAGAAATTATCCAAAATAACTATTCCACCATTCCTAGGGGAGCTCAAGAACTGGCACTGAATCCAGAGGGTGAAATCCTCACATTTTCTGTTAATTTCCCAATTCATTAAACATCCTCACTGCCTTTTTTACAGATAGTTAAAAATCCACTTGTTGGCCAGCTGAGATGGGATTTCTCCAAGCAGGTTGCTTTGAGGTGAAAACTTTAAATAAACTTTAGTATTTTTTTTAGTTAAACACCTGGAATAAGGGAGTTTTTTTTAACTCTTAACTTGTGTTTTTAATACACTGTGCATTATTTCCCATTCCTGAAAAAATTCCCATTATTTTCCTTTAAATGATCACTGCTTGAAGAAGAGAAACAGAAAGCACAAAAAGAAGATAAATTCTGGTTCTCTTTGTGCATGTTAAAGTGGGAAAAAGATTTAATTGTAAAATGCCCAAAGATGTGGAGCTGGATAAGGAGCCCATGCAGTTCACTAACAATAAAAAATATTTCTTTGTTATTTGGATTTTAAGTCCAGAACATGCTTTGAAGAGCTTCAATCCCTTTGTTGTGCACTCAGCAGGTTTAAGGTAACTTCTTTGTATCAGACCACTTTCAAACTCTTGCTCTGCTTCAATTCTATGCAGTGGACACTTAAAAATGGTCAAACACATCAGTTGTTACCTTAATACATGAAAAAAAATAGGAGAATCTGTCTTTTGAACAATATTTTTATTTATGTTTTTATGTTTATTTATATTTTATTATATATATTTAGTTATTAAATTTTTATTTTTATTTATACAATGCAATTATATGCATTTGTACTCTTTAAGATGAGTAGAGAGTGACAATTTTTACATTAGGGTGGGAGTCTTTTTAGGAAAAACCCAAAGCTAAATGGTGAAACATCTTTAAACCAGATTTTATATATTTTTATGCCCACATTCCTTGGCACTGGCACCTGGGGGTCCTGTGAGTTGGAAATTAGAAACAGTTCCATGTGTTTGCCTCTGTTCCAGCTGCAGATGGACAAGCACATCCTTGCTCCAAACCACTTTATTTCTTTCTTTGCTGCTGCTGCTGTGCTGGAAATGCAGCAGGGAGTGAGGGAAATTGGATATAAAATCCTTTCAGAGTGAATGAATCAGAAGAAAACTTTATTTTTGATGTGATCACTGAGGTTTGGTGACTCGAGCTGCTGTTTGGAGCAGGTGAATCACCCCAAGGAGATCCTGATAAAGGTTTTGGTTTTGGGTTTTTTTTGGTTTGATTTTGGTTTTGGTTTTTTCTGGTTTGATTTTGGTTTTGGTTTTTGTTTGTTTTTCGGTGTTTGGGTTGGTTTTGCTTTCTTTGGCCTTTGCTGGGGGAGATGTCAAAGGGTGAAACCTTTTTTAAAGCTGATTTTTGGGTTTGGGATCACCTTTCCTAGATGGAACTCCCCAGAGCTGAGGTATTTTACAGGTGGAGACTGGGATTCCAATCCTCTGTGAATTATTGAATGGGATTCCATTCAATAATGGGAATTATTTTGCAGGTGGAGACTGGGATTCCAATCCTCTGTGAATTATTGAATGGGATTCCANTCAATAATGGGAATTATTTGGGGAATTATTTTGCAGGTTGATACTGGGATTCCAATCCTCTGTGAACTATTGAATGGGATTCCACTCAATAATGGGAATTATTTGGGGAATTATTTTGCAGGTTGATACTGGGATTCCAATACTGTATGAATTATTTTACAGGTGGTACTGGGATTTCAGACCTCTGTGAATTATTGAATTGGATTCCAGTCCTGTGGGAATTGTTTTAAAGGTTGAGACTGGGATTTCAATTCTGTATGAATTATTGAATGGGATTCCAGTCTGTGTGAGTTATTTTGCAGGTTGAGGCTGGAATTTCAGTCCTGTGTGGGTTATTTTGCAGGTTGATACTGGGATTCCAGTCCTATGGGAATTATTTTACAGTTTGAGACTGGGATTTCAATTCTGTATGAATTATTGAATGGGATTCCAGTCTGTGTGAGTTATTTTGCAGGTTAATACTGGGATTTCAATCCTCTGTGAATTATTAAATGGGGTTCCAGTCCTGTATGAATTATTTTGCAAGTTCAGATTGGGATTCCAGTGCTGTATGAATTATTTTACAGGTTAGTACTGGGATCTCAGTTCTGTATGAATTATTGACTGGGATTTCAGTCCTGTGTGAGTTATTTCACAGTTTGAGACTGGGATTTCAGTCCTGTGGGAATTATTGAATGGGATTTCAGGCCTGTGTGAGTTATTTCACAGGTTAATAATGGGATTTCAGTCCTGTATTAATTATTTTGCAGATTGATACGGGGATCTCAGTCCTGTGGGAATTATTGAATGGGATTCCAGTCCTTTGTGGGTTATTTTACAGGTTAACACTGGGATTTCAGTCCTGTGGGAATTATTTTGCAGGTTCATATTGGGATTCCAGTTCACTGTGAATTATTAAATGAGATTCCAGTCCTGTGGGAATTATTTTGCAGGTTGATACTGGGATCCCAGATCTGTGGGAATTATTTTGCAGGTTCATATTGGGATTCCAGTTCACTGTGAATTATTGAATGAGATTCCAGTCCTGTATGAATTATTTTACAGGTTGATACTGGGATCCCAGATCTGTGGGAATTATTTTGCAGATTGATATTGGGATTCCAGTCCTGTGGGAGTTATTTTACAGGTTAATACTTTGATTCCAGGCCTGTGGGAATTATTTTAGAGGTTGAGACTGGGGTTTCAGACATCTGTGAATTATTGAATGGGATTCCAGTCTGTGTGAATTATTTTGCAGGTTTAGATTGGAATTTCAGTCCTGTGTGAATTATTTTACAGGTTGATACTGGGATCCCAGTTCTGTATGAATTATTGAATGGGATTCCAATCCTGTGTGAGTTATTTTGCAGATTGATACTGGGATTCCAGTCCTGTAGGAATTATTGAATGGGATTCCAATCCTGTATGAGTTATTTTACAGGTTAATACTGGAATTTCAGTCCTATGGGAATTATCTTGCAGGTTGATACGGGGATTCCAGTCCTGTATGAATTATTTGTCATGTTGATATTGGGATCCCTGTCCTGTGGGAATTATTGAATGGAATCCCAGTTCTTTATGAATTATTGACTGGGATTCCAGTCCTGTGGGAATTATTTTACAGGTTGATCCTGGGATCCCTGTCCTGTGGGAATTATTTCATGGGATTCCAGTCCTGTATGAATTATTTTACAGGTTGATACTGGGATCCCTGTCCTGTGGGAATNGGGAATTATTTTGCAGGTTGATACTGGGATTCCAATCCTGTGGGAATTATTGAATGGGATTCCACTCAATAATGGGAATTATTTGGGAATTATTTTGCAGGTTGATACTGGGATTCCAATCCTCTGTGAACTATGGAATGGGATTCCACTCAATAATGGGAATTATTTTGGGAATTATTTTGCAGGTTGATACTGGGATTCCAGTCCTGTGGAAATTATGGAATGGGATCCCAGTCCTGTGTGAGTTATTTTGGATATTGATAATGGGATCCCAGTCCT